ATTGAGAAGCACAAGACTGTGAGTATAGAAGTGACTTATCTGATCATGAGACGTTTGTAGGGGAAAAGAACCTTATCCATGTCATTACTTGTTTACTCTTTCAAGAATAGCTTAGCTTTGAACAGGAACTTCATTTGGCATAGGTTTTTGGACCGTTATTAAAAGGGGATCATGTTGCTTTTCCTACCTGAAATGGAATAAACAGAAGCTGCCATAAATTAAACGAAGTAAACAAACAATGTAATGTAGTATGAATGTTCCGTACATCAGTAAATTCGAGTATTTTCCAGGATTTCATAGAGAGTATCTTTTGAGGCAGCAGTGCGCCTAATAGGTCAACATAAGTACATACTCTTCCTTCTTCCCTATGTATAAACAACTAAAGCAGCCCAGGAAGCAGTTTTAGATTTAGATGATTTGGAAGGGTATTTGGAGTTGGCAGTTGTGTCCATTTTACAGAAGTGATAGCAGTACCTTTTGTGAGGCATTAGGTACTGCAGTTAGATCTGTGAATAGGTGGAATATAGAGCATCCCATTCTGATCAGATTTTCTCATAGCGTCTCCAGCCAGGAAACAATCTAGTGTATTTTTCAACCCTCATCTCATTCTTTTCTTTCTGTAGCTTTTCTGCTCCAGTTTGGAGGTATGCCTTTTAGTCCTTTTGGGTAACCTCAGATATTGGTCACCTTTTTAATGGTGTTACTGATTGATCCAGAGTCGGCTTCTAGCTTCTGTATTTTATGGTAATGGGACTTTTATCCTTAGTTCAGCAAAACTCCCATTAACTTCAGTGGGAACTTTGCTTGAATCACCAACTCTAAGCATTATAATGTTTTTGCAGTTTGATTCTTTCATGGATTAGGCAGCTAAATAGAATTCAAAGAGTTTTTCACTGTTTTGTTTCACAGAACTATATAAGGTATAATACTCCTATCATTTAGTCATCTTTGAAACATCCACTTCTGTTGTTGTTTTATTTCCTGGTCCCAAGGGTATATTGTGCTGACTGATTCAATACCAGGACTGGGTTACAGTGTTGTATCTTTCTTCTTTTGGAATAGTCCATTTTGGGTGCATTCCACATGTAATGCTTTTACCCATCTCACTTTGATTCACTCACAGCCAGGCTCCCACTTCCTCAGGGTGATTAACATGAGTTTATCCAATTTGATGGGTCACACTGTGTGCATATTACATGCTGTAAATCCCGTTACTGATTTGGCAAACAAAGGAACTTTGTAGAAAAGAGTGCAGCTGGTGCATTTCAATAAATCCCTGAATTTGGACGGAGGGATTATAATCACAGTTGGAGTTGCTGAATATATGAGTTGTTTCTCTATCCAGTGAAGTTCTGCAGCATAAGATAGTGAGTCCCATGCCCAATTCTCCTAAACAACTTTAACATTGTCTCAATAAATCTCAGATTTGTATCTAATAAACAAACAGGATTTTGCTGGTTAAAAGTGTACCCCAGGCTTAAGCACAGATATTCCTGATTAGAATTGTGGAAATATGACAGTTTCCCACTAATTTCCTGTAGGTGGTAACGAGTTAATTTTTATCTGGAAACTGCATAGTATGAGATCTACTATAAGGGGGAAAGTACACTTTGGACTGGATAAAGTTTTTCCTTTGTTACCTCACTTTTAGAGTTGAATTAAGGCAAACTTGTATAAAACCAGTTACCTCTATTCAGAAAAATCACTGTTCTATAGTAAGGGAGATTTTATCTTTACCATATCAAAGGTGAAAAAGCTTAATTGGGGGGAGGGGGGGTGTATATTATTTTTCCATTCAAAAATGTTTCTTTGGACACTAAAAACCACAAATTACTTCAACATTTTTATAAACAGTGTAAAATTGTAACCTACTGTATAACCCTTTAAACTGGGTCTGTTTCCAAGTCGAACTGTGCCATTTTGTTGCGTACCTGAAATTTAAAAACCCACCCGAGGAAAATGCAGTATGGTGATGATTGTTGTTGAGCATTTGCAAGTGCGGTTTTCTATTAAAATGACAGACCGGACTGAATCCTGCATATTCCAGTAATCTGCTTAGAGCAAGGACAAGAGTAGGAGAGAATCTTTCTTTCCCTTCAGATGAGGTGCAATAGCATTTATGCTTAAACAGAAGGCTTTCCCTGCTCATTAACATGGTGGAATAGGGCCTTGCTACCTTTCATACCCTTTGTTTTAAAATAGAAAGTTTGAGTGGTAGCTTCTGCAAGTCTGTGGCTGCAGAAAACTAAATAAATAAAGAAACCCTCTTTCTTCATTAATGTTGCCCTACCACAGGATTCTGACTACTGTCATCAATGCTTTGGACACCTAGATCTTAAAACTCAAATTCTTACAAAGCAGAAAAGAAAAATCTCAGATTTTCTTTAGAGGGATATTTAATCTGGTTCCTCCATTAAAAAGTAAGGTGTCAGTATTTTATGACTGTTGTTGAACTGGTTTCTTAACACATCAGAGTAACTAAATTTTCTGCAGTAACCCCTTCCTCCTACATTATCCTCTAAATAAAGGAAAACTTAATTATTTCTGGCATTTAACCCATTTTCTTATGACCCCCTACATATTTGTTTAATATACACCAGAAAAGGATTACTACACAATTGTTTTATGGTTGAAGGGCATTTCCTTTACAAAAGCTGGGTTAGCATTTTGTTCGCTTTCATAAATCTAAAAAGGGGAGGGGCTGGCTACTAGTGACTTGTTCTAGAGCTAAGGAAATTAAAACAGCTTTTAAAAAGCTACCCTATTATTTACCTGTTTTGGACTTGACAAACTGCTCAACCAGGAGAAAATATGATTGTTGTAAACTTAGGCCCAAATTCTGGTCCTGTACCCTCAAATGCAAGCAGATTCCCTAGATTTGGATCGTATGCTTCTGTGGCCCAAGTTCTGCTCATTCATACCTGTGCTTTTATTCTAAGACCTGAAAGGTGCTTAATGTTTCCTTTCAAGAAGAATTTAAAGGGGAAGGCACTATGCTTTAATTCAAAAACAAAATGAGGCACTGAGGGAAGTGCAGGGATAAAAACAGCTCTTTTGTGCTGGGTCATTTCCATTCTGAGCTCAACACACACACGTTTTTCACTATGAGAACCTATTATTGATTATGATTTTACAAGCTTAAAATAAAAGCTTTTCACTGAACTTATTGAGGTTGCTTCTGGAGGTTGGCTCTTACAGGGAACCAGTCAGAAATAGTGCTGCAAACCAGCTGTTTATCTGTACCTTCCTGTGCTAAGTTTCAAGTTCTATTTTTCTTGTAGAAGTCAGACATAGGATAGCACTACAGGAACTTAGAGGTGGAACATCATCTCTGTGTTCCTTGGATTGGCTGTAGTACCACTACATGGGTGAATGTTGGGAAAAAATGTAAAAGTATCAAATTGAGCAGTAAGTTTGAATAGTTTAAGCTGAGTAGCAATGCATGCTGAAAAGGGGTAATTCTGATGCACTTAAAGAATCTCCATTTGTTACTGTGCCATGGGCAGTATGTGTCTTTTTCACTCACCAGTTAAGTTTTCCCTTTGTTAGTGTTCAGTCTTTCAGATTGAATACTGGCTTATACTTCACAGCAGGGTATCAAACTAAGCCTGAGCTTTAGGAGCATGTTTACCTCTCACTGAATGGAAGAGGCAATAATTCATTTTTTCCCCCTAGGCATACTCACCTCAGAAACAAGGGTTGGAAGTTTTCTCATAGCATGCATACTCTACTTATTGATTTGGCAAATGAATATTGCATCATAACGTGTACTATAATTTTTTTCCTGGAACTAAGTTGTCAAATTGGTGTTTCTACAGCAGGAAACTTTGACACAAACTACACAACTTATGCTGCTTTGGAAGAAAGATTTTAATTTATTATGCCTTTATTTAGTAGGCAGTTCTCAGAGTTTAGATTTGCTACAGTGCTGTGCTTGTAAAGCACTAAGCCTTTGGAAATATTGAATCAGAAAAGCCTTGTCCACTAGGAATAGCTCTATTTGCTGTCTTAGATACAATGGCCTAGTGTAGAAATTCAGTTTCCAAAAAAAAAAAAATCTCAAACACCAATTGTAAACTAAATGTCTAGGGGTGTGCCTTAAGTACAGTGAAACTAAAGGATTTTTTTTTTTTTGCCTCTTAGATTTTCATAAATGAAGGACCAAGGACTAGGTCCCAACTCTTTTTACAAAGAGATAGTGAAGTCAAGCTCTGTATCATGTATGTGCTAAACCAGTTTTAGCCATCTTCTAACCTCCATTTGTTTTCACCAAATAGTAGGATGACAAAATAGAACCTATTGCTTGCTAAAATGACATCGGTTTCTGAAGTATTGTTAATCTAACTATGCTCTAAAGGCATCAGTATTGGTAGCAGACATTGACAGCTTTAGAACGTCTCTTGCTGAATGAACGTAGTGTAGTGTACGGTTCAGAATACTTAGTGTAAACTTTTTCTTCCCCTACTTTGTTAATGGATTCTTCAGTGGTATTGGCATGAGGATGAAGATCAGAACTATAACTAGCTTATCACTGTATTCATGTTAAGGTAAAGTACTGTTTAAGTGGGAAAATACAAAATGCATCTAAAAGTAGTATTGCATTGCAAAAAAAACTAAAGATTTAAAAAAAATCAAATTGTGATTTATGACCTCTCTGAAGTCAGGAAAGAAACTTAATGAGGTTTAGTTAATGAAACAAAGCATACAGCTACTAGCAGGCTGTAGCCTAATGTGGAGAATTAATTTTTGGAAGCATGAAAGAAAAAAATCGTCATTCATCTTAATTTGCCCCTCCACAATGTAGGTGTAGGTTATATTATGGAAAAAGCATAGGGATTCTCTTGCTTAAGATTTAGTGTACAGAATGGTAGTTAAATAGAAGTGACATCTAGAAATTTAGTTTTGATACCTGCTGTTTTAAAATCTAAACCAAATTACACTGTTCAGATAAATAGCCAAAGCCATTTTAAATGCACTAATTTACCTGTATATTTTCATAGGAAGGACAAAAGTGTGAAGTTTCCTGAAGATTTTTCAGTTACTCTTCCTAATCTGCTTAAGTTCATTTTACATTACTCAAGTCTACCTTCAGCTGCACCTGACTCAGAGCCCTGCACCAAAGAATGTCCACAGAAAGAGAGTGTGTTACAGCAAGAGCATCTCTCCCATTTAAGGAGTGAGATTCAGAAATTGAGATCCGAAGTCAGTGCTCTACACCAGGCTCAAGATCAGCTAGAAGCCCAACTTTCTGAAGCCAGAAGAGAAGAACATCAACTACAGCAGCAGAAGCATACACTGGAAAAGCAGCACAGTATCCTCCAGCTCCACAGTGAACAATTACAGGCACTCTATGAACAGAAGAGCAGAGAATTAGAAGAAATGGCTGAGAAGCTTCAAGAATTAGCAGATGCATCAGCAAACCTCCTTACAGAGAATGCTTTACTAAAAGTCCTGCTAGCAGCAATGGAGGGGAAGCTAGAGAACAAAGATGAAATCAAGAAATCCATTCAGTCAGAGGAGACTCGTTCCACCTACAATACTGGGCCAGTTCTAACTGCTATGGACAGATTACATGAAAGAGAAAGGCTTGATGTTTCCAATGTTGATACCACAGTGACTGAGCATAAAGAAAACAGGACAGAATAATTACTTATGCTATTGGGAGGGAGGGGGAGAAAAATCAGGAATGACACTGTATTGGGAAGATATTTATGCAAATTTTATTTGTTGTAAATAAAATATTTTCCAATTGTCTAGAAAAAAAATCAAACCAGAATATTTCTGTAATACTTCAAACAATTTATCAGATCTTGAAACCTAAATGGAGATATGGAAAATACTTTCCACTTTACTATTGCACTAATTTGATAGCCATTTTATTAATTTAACCTAGGTTAAAAATAGTAAACTACCAGGGACAGCAGAGTGAAGCATCTCCTACTAAGGGACCAATTTTTGCACTGGCTTCCTCCCCAACACAGAGGAAGTGTTCATTTAGGAACTTTGACAATTTATACTTTTCTAAGAAACAGCTGAAGTTAGCCATCATAACTGCATTTTGCTTTTGTTTACAAAATTGACTGGAAATTTGTTTATTTAGTAAACTTGAATGGAAAGTCAAATGGTTAAAATATTCTGTCATTCCTGTTGCATACCACTTTTACATGCTCCACAATTAACCTATAATTGTCTTTGAATCGTAAGTTAGGGAACAGATTTTCATAGATGTTTCATTATGGGGAACAAAAGGCAGAATAATCTCATCCAACCTCCTTATGCATCCCACTAGTGTTCCCTCTACCCCCTGCCCCTCAAAAAAAAAAAAAAAAAAAGGGAGAAGGAGAATAAAGTTTGGCATCCCAAACAAGCAAAGTCTACTTATTGATTGCTCAGCATATATGCAGTTAAGAATCCAGTGTGCATATATAGGCCAGTGCCTCAAACCATAGACTGAAAAATAAAGATTGGCAGCTTTGAAGCCAGTAAATATACAACACAGTGTTTGCCCCCTCCCTAGGCAGTTGTATTCCACACTGCACTTGGACAAGCACTTCCTTCCTCTATTAGTAGCAATGGATTTGCTTAGCCAAGCCGTGGCTTTTGCAGTGAAAGACACTTCATTTTCTAGCCTCAGTTTAATCAGTGCACACAGGAATAAGAATGCAACTCAGCAGCTTGTCCTGGAGGGAGCTAGCAATTTAGTTCATAAGTGGACTATCATTTGCTTGCAGATAAAGTCATTAAGGCCTAGCTAGCTAAGAATAAATAGTGTTATTCCCAATGTATAAGCCATCATTCACACCTATGTTTAGCATAACTGTTCCCCCACACACAGATGGTGGTAGTTGAACTTTTGCATTATCTACTGCTTGTACATCTCCCCCCTCCCCTTTGCATCTCAGTTTGCTAGGGAGTTTAACTTAAACTAAAGGAATTCCTTAGCTACATATGAACTGGATCTGGCAAAAGCTGGGTAGTTAGTGGAATACGCAGGCCTAAAAGTTAGGAAATCTAGAACATTTTAGCCATGGTTGAATGATTGTTCAGAACCTATGGTACTGTTTACGGTCTATAATTTTTCACTCCAAGTACCTGTTATAGGTTTCTCTTTAGTAAAGAGAAGGGAAAGGTTAGGAAATGTGGGACCCCTTTGTGTGAAGGTACTTCAGATTGCACCAAGTTGTTTTTTTAAAAACTCTACCCCTACCCACAATTTTTCCCCTCCCTCTATTCCTTCCCTAACACACCCAAAATTTAGTTAGCTGTTACAAGATAGATTTCTGTCTGCCCTGTAAGTTAAGAATCCAAAAAACCTTACCTACAAAATACATTAACTGTAGACAATTTGGTATCTAGACTAAAAACAGTTTGCACAGTTGGCTGTTTAGCGTCATGTTTACATATGCCCCAGCTACTAGGTACACACATAAACAGTGGTTGGGGGGGGGGGGGGGGGAAAAGAGAAATAGTTACATTAATGCCAGTTCTAGTGAAAACACCACTTCTGTAATTAACATGCTAACAGGAGGGAAAGATCTGCTCTACTGCTATTTTTAACTCCACTGGAAACCTTCTGGACCATGCATGAAGTAGCCATCATTAGTTCCCAGATTGGAATCTGCTAAAATGGCAGTTTCCTTGCAGTAGCTACATGGCTAGGACAATCACAGTATTAGCTGTTATCAGCTAAATCTACCCTAAAGGAAGAGAGGTACAGTTCCTTCCTTATAACCCCTATCCTTTCTGCCTCAAACACCTTAATGAGATTATATATACCTGCATTCAGGGAAAGTGTTCTGAATCAGTCCCACAAGAGGTTTAGAAACAAAAACTAAAAAGCAACCATTCTGTCTTTATGGTTATTCACTCAGAATGTCATAGCAGAAACAGGCTTTAACTGCAGATTTGGTTTTGAAGGTCTGGCATCCGATCTGTAATCATGTGGCTCAGAAGTCCAAATGTGTGTTACTAAGAATAACTTCATACCACTTCCATATGCTGGATAACAAAAAGCCAGAACTCCTGGCAGCCTATTTACAGTTCACAGTTTTAAGTAGTTCACATTACAGTAGTAGTTCCATCAAAATAGGCTCAGCTAAACATTCAAGTAACAAAAATGCAATTAATCTTTTCATGCCAGCATATCCCTGCATGTCCATTGCCAGCAATGGACTTTATACCAGAGAAGTCACCTCTTAGCACTAAGGAGTTAAAATACAGGATTGATGGATAGTCTAGTTTCTCAGTGCATGCAGTGGCAAACCAACAAAACCATAACTTTGAAGTCTTATCTCAAGGTATTTTACGAGAGAGCAGTATGTATGTCCAGTTTCTTCACAGTATCAGTTCTGCTGATTACAGACATCTTAAGTGTAGTCCAAATACACATCTGTGCTGCTCGAAGTTAGCTATGAATTTCTGTGCCATTAGGAGTCAGCTTTGCTTTTCTCTCTACACAAGGTCCTTTAGCAGAATACTGCACCAAAAGGAAAGGCTCTTTGGTTTCTCCTTCTCCCACAATGCTCTCTTCATCTTCAGACTGGCTGATCCTTTGCAGACGCAGGTAACACCAGCAGCCCAATATCAAGGCACCAAGAGCAGCAATAGCAATCAGAATGACTATTACAGTCACCACTCCAGTGGTAGGGCTGTGATCCATAATAGACATGGTCAGGATTTCAGGACAATTATCAGCTCTTAAAGATGGTTCTTCAGTCCTTGCTATCAGTTTTGAGATGTCTGAAGCAGCATCTTGGAACTCCTGAAATACAGAAATAAGACCTGTAATGCAATTGTACAGAGATATTATGGTTTTGCCTTATTAGGTAGCTTTAGTGTTACGTGGCCAGTGCTACAGATTCTGGCAGCCAACCCTCTTGCGGTCTTTGGTTTTGCTCATTTGTTTGCTTGGGAAAAATAAGTATCAGCCCTCTTTCATACAAAGCCTTTCAATTTGCATAGCCATACATTAAAAGTGTTAACTTTTTATTCAACATTTTGCCTTAGCTTAGACTCATAGGTTACATATGGTACATTTCCTACTGGACCAAAGTAGTGAATGACTCCGAAGAAAATGATCCTGAATGCTTATGGATCAATGTTGAAAGCACAAGATGAGGTATTAGTCAGTGTATGCTACAGATCACCAAATCACAAGAGTGAACAGGAGGATGACTGCCACCTCTCTACAATGAGAATGGGAAAAAAAAAAGACTGATCATAGAGGACTTCAGTGTGACTGACATATGCTTGAAGTCTCATGCTGCCAGTACTGAAACATCCTTGGAATTTCTGAACACTAGAGATAATTTCCAAACTCAAAGGGTTGCAGCCAACATGGGGGGGAATTCTATATTACATCTTGTCATAACCAAGAGGAACTGATCACACAACTTCTACACAACATTAAAAAAAACCCATACACCCTCTGCCATGGAGTCTCAGAGCCAGAGTCCATTGACTCTGGCTGCAGGGCTAAGAGCAATGCAGACATTAGAGCTCAGGCTGGAGGCTGGGTTCCGAGACTCTCTTCCTTCACATGGGTTTCAGAGCCCAAAACTATATGGCAATTTTTAGCCCCGAGCCAGGTAAATAATGAAAAGCACAAGTCACTGATTCAGATCTATCTAGATTGCTTACACCAAGTCTACCCAGCACACATGATGCATTTTAATAGGGCTACAAGTAAATGTGCACATCTGGGAACAAAGAATGTAGGCCATACTTACAGGATGGGGGACTCTATTGTGGCATGCAGTGACTTTGAAAAGGATTTGGGCATTGTGGATAACCAGGTGAACATGAGCTCCCACTGTGATGCTGTGGCCAAAAGAGCTAAAGCAATCCTGGGATGCATAAACAGGGGAATCTTAAGTAGGAGGAGAGGTTATTTTACCTCTGTATTTGGCATCGATATGACAGCAGCTGGAACATTGTGTCCAGTTCTGGTGTCCACAGTTCAAGAATGTGGATAAATTGGAGAGGGTTTAGAGAAAAGCCACAAGAATGATTAAGGGTTAGAAAACATGCCTTATAGTGAGACCCAAGGTGCTCAAATCTATTTAGCTAAACAGAGATGGTTAAGGAGTGATTTGATTAGTCTTAAATGCCTATATGAAGAACAAATATTTAATAATGGGCTCTTCAATCTAGCAGAGAAACCTATACAACATGATTAGGGCCCTACCAAATTCACAGCCATGAAAAACTTGTCAGACTGTGAAATCTGGTCTTGTGTGCTTTTATCCTATACTAGACAGATTTCACAGGAGAGACCAGCATTTCTCAAATTTGGGGTCTTGAGCCAAAAGGGAGTTGCATGGGGGTCACAAGATTATTTTAGGAGGATCACAGTATTGCCACCCTTACTTCTGCACTGCCTTCAGAGCTGGGTGACCAGAGAGTGGTGGCTGCTGGCTGGGCACCCAGCTTTGACGGCAACACCCCACCAACAGCAGCACAGAAATAAGGGTGAAATACCATACCAGGCCACCCTTATTTCTGTGCTGCTGCCTTCAGAGCTTGGCTGCCAGAGAGTGGCGGCTGCTGACTGAGGGCCCAGCTCTGCAGGCAGGAGTGCAGAAGTAAAGGGGGCAATACCATACTATGCCATCCTTACTTCTGCGCTGCTGCTGGTAGTGGCTCTGCCTTCCTGGCCAGCAGCCGCCACTCTCCAGCTGTTTAACTCTGAAGGCAACACCACTGCCAGCAGCAGTGAGTGCAGAAGTTAAGGTAGCAGTACTGCAACCCCCCCACAACTCTTTTTGGGACAGGACCCCTACAATTACAACACTGAAATTTCAGATTTAAATAGCTGAAATCATGAAATTTACAATTTTTAAAATCCTATGACCGTGAAATTGGTAGGGTCCTAAATATGATCCAATGCCTGGAGCTTGAAGCTAGACATTCAGATGGGAAATTTGGTAAGGTTTTTAAATGGTGAGTAATTCGCCATTGGAACAATTTACCAAGGGTTGTGGTGCAACCAAGCTTGGATGCATTTCTAAAAGATCTGCTCTAGGAATTGTTTTGGGTGAAGTTTTGTGACCTGTGCTATACAGGGTGGTCAGCATGGATGATCACAATGATCCCTACTGGCCTTGGACTCTGAAGTGTTGGTTACAGCGAGTTCCTGAATGGATTTTATCTGACCTGAAGAGATGATAGCCAACACACATTCTCCAATCAGACACTCAAGTCTAGTCATCTCTAGAGCCTGCTCATGGCAGTACGTAGTTCTAGGTAGGGAAGGGAACTTTACAATTTATATTTAATCAAACAACTTTAGTGATTGCACAGCTTTGCCTTAGTTCAAGTCAAAGCCCATTCTGCCAGCTGCCTAACACTCATGCCAGAGACATCCCCAGATCTGAAGAAATTCTTTCCTATACAACTAATGGACGCCTATACATTCTAGTGTTACGGGGTTTATAAGATATAATATAATGCACATGCCAACTTCCATCATGTAAGCTCTCAACAGTTTCATAATCAGGTGCTCATTTCATAGTCTTGCTAAAACATTTAAGTACAAGTATAGATATACTTCAAAAATAGTTTAAGAGGAAACCCTGTGCAAGTAGAACCAAAATTGCACTTTGAAGCCTGGAACAGAAACACAGTGATAGTATCAGCACTATCCATGCCCCACCTACTAATGCAAAGCTGGGGGTGGGGTGGGGATGGAAGATGTTGTATGTTGTGTTAATGTGTTCCTCTAAGACAAATAAAGCAGGAAGACATTGGCAGTTTAGTAAGTTAAGCATGAAACATTGAGTTCTAATAATAATAGCTCTAATGTGGAGGTCACATTTTTAACCTGTAAACAGAGAAGGATTAGACTGCAGTGCTTTCCACCACCCCTCCCCATTTTTAGAAAGTGCTGGAAAACTGAAAAATCATGTGACCTGAACTGTGATACAGAAACGAACTAGGATTATTTTAATGTGTACAGCCATGATTAGCAATATTCTTGGAACACCAATAAAGAACTCTCCCCAGCTAACATGAATATTAAAAACTGGAAGATACTGTAGAACTTGAGTATTTGAAAGAAGTTTTGTCAAGTCAGAAAAGTAATAGCTGCTTTAACAGTAGTTGGCAGAAAGCCAGCAAGTGTGACAATGGTGCACGACAGCATCACTGGCTATCTACAGCTTGGTTACGTGAGAAGGAGGAAGATACCACTATCCAGCTACTAAATAAATTGTCCTACCTTTCAAGTTACTTCATTCCTTCCATCCTCTGTGCCCCACTGCAGTACCAACGGAAGGTTAATGTTCACCTCTGCCACAACTGGTAAAGGCAGGAAGCCTACACAGGGGAGTAACTCCTGGCTTCCACCCCACTAGTTGAGCTTTGGGAGGAGAGCCTGACTGGTCACCATTTAGTAAAGTTACTATGGTCAGGCAATAGCTGCCGCTGTTTGCTTTGTGAACTTGCTCAATGCAGTGAATTG